AGTGGAAAGCGGAAGCACATGGATCAGACAAGCTATTTTTTGCTGACCAAAGTCAGGTCAGAGCACAACAGCCAGGTTTCATTTGTCACTCAGCTTGGTTGAAACTTTGTTTGTGGACACACATTCCGAGCACCGCTGCAAACAAAAGGCATCGTCAGGCATCGTTGTTTCACTTCGCTATTTAAACTGCCTTTGACCATTAGTAACCAAATCCAGCTCACGTCACGGTTGTTCAACTCAGAAACATTCAGACACAGGCTTACTTTTATTTTCAATGTCTTTTTCCTTACATGTAAGGACAGAAACTAAAGTCTTCAAAAAAAAAGGGCCTCTTAGCTTTGCTTAAAACCAAAAAGTCCTTTTATAAATGTGGTTACCAGTTTTTCTGGGTTCCTGGGTTCCTCTTTTTTCGGTAGTTGTCTTTTCTTACAGTTGACAGTTGACTTAATTCAGTTCCTTATTGTAAAAGAAAGCCTGACTATATAAAAATTGCCCTTTTCATTTGATTATATTTTTTACTGTAAAAAATTTATCCAAATCAACCTATCTATACGTGAGATAGGTTGCTCTGTTATATTTCTTAATCTAAATAAAGTAGGTAAATATATTACCTACATATAGAGAGATCAACCTATCTCATATAGGTTTAACCTAAAAGACAGGTGATTGTCTGTTAGCCTAAAAGACACTCACCCTTTAACCTAAAAGGTGATTGTTCAACCTTTGGTACATTTCTTCAGATCTTGGCATGATTTGCGACTTTGTATTGTCATAAATTTGCTGTTTAAATTATTGTTGACTAATCTAAATAATCTAATTTAAAGTTAAAATTTGAGTTAAATTTTCAGATAGAAATTTTAACTCAACTTTCCAACTATGTATTTAATCCTGATTAAAACATGGCTCAACAAGGTGAGTATTGTTATTGAGTTGTTTGCTGAAATGTGATCTGAAACATTAAATTGTGACGGAAAAGCAGAAGAGAACCATAAATAGACAAGTGTTTTCTTTCTTTTTCTTTTTTTTGAGTTAGGTTTTGTTCAAAAGTGTGCTTGAAGCGTTAAAATCCAGTCTGGATTTCTGGAGAGAAAAAATATCCTTTGTTTTTAGTTTGTATTTAAAGTGTAGCTTTGAGGAGTCATTTGTGCTTCATTCCCATACATGACTTCCCAGAGGGGAAAGTGAAGTTAAAAGCCTAACCTCTGTTCAAAAACATCTTAAAAAGTACTCAATTTAATGACGTTGTCAATATTAAGAATAAATGAACTTATTAATAAGATGTTTACTTCATTGTAGGTGTTGTAGCTGTTGGTTAGTTTTTCTCTTCCCTAAACAAAATGCAAAGATGTGAGTCTTCACTCACATGACTCACAGGGAGCCACATGACTGCTCATGCATGTCTGGGCTCGTGTTCTGCAGCTTTGGAGACAATAACAGTTCCTCTTCACTCATTCACCTTTTCATGTTCCGTTTCCAGCTGTAAGCTAATGAAAACGGGCTTCTGTTGCATTTGACTCTGCAGGTGATGAACGGGCTCATGCAGACCACCGGTTGGCCCGCTGTGGTGGCTTGTGTCGGCAACTGGTTTGGAAAAGGAAAGTGAGTACAGGGAGGCAGTTCTGCTGACTCTGCAGAGTTTTGGAGTCAACTAAGTCACACACTATCACATTTTAACAGCACTGCAACAAAGCACCAACAGAGGCGACATTTAAATGGTTCATACTGACACAAATTTGAAATCAATTGACCCATGAAATCATGACAGCTTCACATGGACAATACCTGGTGTAAGTGTTGGTTTTCTGCTTCAAGATGAATTCAAAATTATTGAACAGAGGGACAGTGGAGAACAAATCTAAACACATAAAGAATGCTTAGTTAATTTTTTTAAAGTTGATTTTGAGATTTTCAGTTCTGCTGAGTCAGTAGATCATCCTCAAATGTAAACGTTTTAACTGTTTTTGTTACTTCAGAGCAGAAAATCATCTTCCTGCTGATTATTGCTTACTTTATCTTATTGCTTACATCTTATTGCTTACTTTAAAGGAAGCAATAATACCACACATAAGGGTTAACTGTCAAAGGGTGGTTATTATGTAAAGTTAGGGCTGGGCAATATGGCCAAATAGTATAAGTGTTTTATATCAATCAATATTGATAATTATTAATTTGTTTTTTGTTTTATCTTAAATACTGTAAAACTGGTGGTGTGACCTTTCCTGTTTTATCCTCCGTTTTCACTCCACACTGTTGTTTATTTTAAATGGGTACAAGGCACCAGGCTGGTGCTGCTGCGCAAGTTACTCATCGGGCTGTTGCTAGGTAACAAAAGAGGGAGTGATTAGTTGAGTTCACCAACCTAGCTTAGCTGGTTGTCACAGGTTGAGTAGCTAAAGCCTTTCTTCCAGAATGCTGAAATGCTGAATTGACTTATTGACCAGCCCTCTGTAAAATTAACTTGAGCTTAGCATCATGTTATGATGTTATTCCCTCATCAATACATACGTGGAGCGTTGCCTTGGTTTTTTCATACATGATTGAGAATTCTTTGAATCCCCTTTGGCAACCATTCATGTTTGCAGAATGCTTGTTCTCACAATGCACTGCCTATTTACATAAAGCTCCTCTAGACTAGCAGCAGCAGCAATTAGCAGACACCTGGTGGAATTGTGCATCTATCATAGGAACTACATCTCAGTCTAACACTCTCAAGTATGGATGTAAAAAACATAATGAGAAGTACTGCTGTGGTGACTTCCTGAAGGCAGAGTGTTGGAAATAGTAAGAGACAGAGCCCTAATTTCAAGGCATTAAGATTTTGAAGTCAAATTTATTTTAAATTCTGTTTAAATGCTGTTTATATAAATAGACAAGTGCTTTCTTTTTTTTTTTCTTTTTTTTGAGTTAGGTTTTGTTCAAAAGTGTGCTTGAAGCGTTAAAATCCAGTCTGGATTTCTGGAGAGAAAAAAGATCCTTTGTTTTTAATTTGTATTTAAAGTGTAGCTTTGAGGAGTCATTTGTGCTTCATTCCCTTACATGACTTCCCAGAGGGGAAAGTGGAATTAATTCTGCTTGTCTATTTATATAAACAGCATTTTCTTAACAATTGAATGTAAAATACTACAATGCCCCTTTTACATAAACCATACAAAACAGACGAAAAATAAACTGCAGCAGGAATATCTGCACTGAAATATAACATGAAACCAATTCCAGCCCTTCGAATAATTTTTAATTATTTCGCTCAAGAACAGTTTTTGTTATGCAGCAGGACACTGATTCAAAGCACCATCAGGAAGTGGTTTAAGAGAAAAAGAAAGTTTTAGCAGGAACATAGTCAAAATCTGTGCTTAGGATTTATTTAGATAATATGACATGACCTTAAATTGGTTGCTCATGCTTGAAAGCCCTTCAGTTTGTGTAGATTAAAACAATTCTGCAAAGAAGAATGGATTGAAATTACACAATTTTGGAATGATAGAAGATTAATACCAAACATTAATTAGTCTGAAAATAAAAGTTGAAAGTGCCCAGGAGTCAAAATGAGCTTTTTTCTCTTCAATCAAAAACACAAAGACAATATTATTGTGAATTCTTTCTCCTTTACATACACAACAATAAAACAAGTAAATTTTTTAAATTATGACATTTACCTTAATGTTTACAATTATTTAACTTTTTTGGGTAAATTATTTTTTATCTTGTTTTTCTGGAAAATATTTCTAGTTTATTTCCAGTAATAAAAATTTGAATTTCCCTTTTACAATCTCAGCGGAGTTTATCCAAGTATAATGGATGCCTAAGAGTGTAAAAAAAAAAAAAACTCACTAAATGTTGACTTTGTATAAAATAAAAATAAAAGCAGAAAAAAAAGACACGTGATTCTTTGTGTTATACTTAACATTTACAATATAGCATACCTTTGAAATCTCATCCTAAAACAATTGCAAACATGTTTATTGACTCCATATGCTGGAGGGACACATTTAAACCATTCTTCTATTTCTGTCAGAAGCTACACAAACTTGTTAAAAGGTTACAAGTGGCCTTGTGTTGTACTTTGAACAACCCTGGTTTATTATGTACAATATACAGTAGAAGCAGGATTGTGCAGCAGTTCAGTGTTTCTTGTTTTCATCTTTCTAATGGTCAGGCGTGGGTTCATCATGGGCGTCTGGAACTCCCACACCTCGGTGGGAAACATTCTAGGTTCCCTCATCGCTGGAGTTTTTGTCTCCTCAGAGTGGGGAATGTCCTTCATTGTCCCAGGACTCATCATCGCTGCCGCTGGGATCCTCTGCTTCTTTTTCCTGGTTGAAAGTCAGTTTCTGCAAAGAGTTGTTTTGTTGTTTTGGATCAATTCAGGGGTTCTGTTTATAAGTGTGACACCATCATTTCACTCTTTATTCACTTCAGAACCTGAAGATGTGAACTGCTCTTCTCCTCATCATCATGTGAGTTTTAACCTAAACTATTTAATTTCCCTTTGGGATCAATAAAGTATTTTTGAATTGAAATTGAATTAAGTACATCTACTAGGGATGCAAAAAATGAATCAATTGCTGATTAATCATTAAAATGATTAAAATTAGTTACAATGTATTAACGTGCATCAGACTTTCTTTTAGTGTTGTAGTTTGGCTGCCATACAGCAGAGAGCGCCAGTGGTCATACTTAAGCAGATACAGAATTAAAGATGTCTGCAAAAACCTGAGCAGGGAAGAGAAACTACCATAGGAATCTACAGTCCAGACAGAGTCTGGTGTGGGATGGAAAATGCACTTCATGTGTATGTTTAAGTTTAATAATGTGAGAAAACTTGAGTTTTCTGTTAATTCAGTCAGTATCTAATTAATCTGACACAAAATAACTTCAACATTTTATGATATCTTTTTTTCAATTCGGCTTATTACGAGAAATGTAGTCTTGTATGACAGACTACAAAGACAGTCGAGCTTTTAAGAAAATGGCCGCTAATTCATCTACAATTGGTCAGTAAGATCAATCAACTTTAGATTAACTCATTAATCAATAACTTGCATTCCTACTTTCTCCTTTTTTCCTGAACCATTCATCTCTGAGCTCACCGCTGTGTGTTTGTATGTCAGATCATTCAGGAGAACGGTGAGACCGAGCCTCTACTGCAAAACGGGAACAGAAGCATCAATGGCGCCGTCTCCACGGAGACTCCGAATATCATACAGGAACACTCTGAGGCCATAAGCTTCTATGGGGCTCTCTGTATACCTGTAAGCATAAATAGTTGAATTTAACCGATTTAAAAAAAAAAAAGATTTGTCTGATTTTGCTCCAGATATGACATTATTGTGCTGCTTACATGTTCCAGTCATAGTCTTTGGCTCCATGTAGTGGTCTGAAAGAGAAATTGCACATTTAAAATTATAGTAGAAGATCCATTTCCATTTGACATGATCATGTTTTATTTATTTGAGGTTGGTGGACCTCCCTGCCATCACCCAAATATTTAGTTTCTTCCATGGATTCTCCATAAAATTCAAGTTGTGAACATTGTTGCTTCCTGTCAGAAAAAATATGTTGCTGAAATTAAAATATTACTTTAAGCCTGGGTCAACTGTCAGGTTATGAATGATTTTAGGCTTAATTATATCTATGAAGCTTCTATCAGCTTTTCACTCTACTCATAGTCCCTCCAGGGTGTCCTGGATCTTCCCCGGGGCCTCCTCCCGGTGGGACATGCCCAGAACACCTCACCACGGAGNATTTACAAACAAAACTTAATTTTGAAGGTGTGGTGCCTTTTATTTTGCTGTGACGGTGCGCCATGATCCATTCCATGTAGAGGAAACCCTGACAGTAAAGCATTCTTCAGTTTTCACATCCCTTTTCTCCTTACAGTGGAAGAAGCCGTCTGCTCCCAGCTCTCCTCTGTCCAGCCTTGAATCATCTCGCTCTCAGACTCCAGAAGGAGCCTCTAAAAGAACCAGGTCTGTTGCTCTCTGGTTGCCAACAGTCATTCACACTGATAACTAAATGTTGAGTCTTAAACATGTTGTTTCATAAACAGAGAGGAAGACATCCAGTCTCCCAGCTCAGCATCTTCTGTGAGATCAGATCACACAATGTCAGAGAAAACACCCGATACTTGTAAGTCTGATCTACCTTCAGTCTTCCTTTATGCTCAAGAACTTGTAAAATTGAAATGCATAAATCCATCCTTCCTTCTTTCCTGTCTCTCTGTCTCTCTCTCTTTTTCTGTCTCTCTGTCTCTCTCTCTGTCTCTTTCTCTCTCTTTTTCTGTCTCTCTTTGTCTCTTTTTCTCTCTCTGTCTCTTTCTCTCTTTTTCTGTCTCTCTCTGTCTCTCTCTCTCTCTCTGTCTCTTTTTCTCTCTCTGTCTCTTTCTCTCTCTCTCTGTGTCTCTCTCTCTCTGTCTCTTTTTCTCTCTCTTTTTCTGTCTCTGACTCTCTCTCTGTCTCTGTCTCTTTTTCTCTCTCTTTTTCTGTCTCTGTCTCTCTCTCTCTCTGTGTGTCTCTCTCTCTCTCTTTCTCTTTCACACACACATCTGGAGTTGGGTCGTGGGGCTAACAGCCTAAGTAGGGAGGTCTAGGCTTCCCTCTTCCCAGTCACTTGGGCCAGTTCCTCCGAGGCGTTCCCAGGCCAGCCGAGAAACATCGTCCCTCCAGGGTGTCCTGGGTCTCCCCTGGGGCCTCGTCCCACTGGGACGTGCTCAGAACACCTCAGCAGGGAGGCGTCCAGGAGGCATCCTGACCAGATGACTGAGCCTCCTAAACTGGCTCCTCTCGATGTGAAGGAGCAGCGGATCTACTCTATTTTTATACACCTATATAAAAGACACAAATAACTATTTTTCCTCACTTTCTGGAGTTAAATCACACTAATTTATAAGTTAAAGTTATTTAAATTGCAAGATTTTTTTTGTTAAATTGGTGCTGTGTTCTCGTACCAGTCGGGTGCATCGGGTATGTGTGAGAGACATTTCAACACATATTTTATATTTTAGTTTAGTTTTATGTTTTACTAGAATACCTTGTCCCTGCTTAGACTGTAAATGCTATCACAAGATGTTATACAGCAGTGTATGTTTTTATATAATAGTGAATTGAAACTTGCTTGTTTAGTTATTTTTGTATTGCTTTTAACTCCAAAATGTGGTGTTGAAAAAGTTTGAAATTCTACCTTGAAAAGTGCTTGAATTTCACTATGAGACAAGTGTAGGAACCTTGTTTTAATTTTCCAGCTTTGATTATCTTGTAGCAAAACAAACTCCAGTCCCCAAAGTTCCTGTCACAACAACAAGAGACTCAACTGGAAGTGGTGGGAAAAGAAAAAGAAAGATCCAGCTGGTGTCCAGCAACCGGGATGATCAAATCTCTCTGGTAAGGAGTTCAGAATGTCCAGACTTTACCCTAAACGATACATTTAGTTTGCATCACAGATTCCTACAGTCTGGAAAAAGATGGGATTACATTTAAGTTTTTTCTGAGTTGAAACTATTAAAAAGGCAAATATGATATAATTTTTTTTCTGAAAGTTGCTTCTGTCTCTTATGTCGTTTTGACCAAATTCAAAGTCTGATCACTGAAGAAATGTGTTTATCAAAAATAATTACTATCATAAATAATTATTTGTCTATTTTGTTTAAGTGGCTTAAAAATGAAAAACTAATTAAATATGAGTTCAGAAAAGTGTTGGACCCTGAGCACCAAATCATAACTTCACATCCAACTCAACAGCATTTCACACTTGTTGATGCTGTAAATCCTGATATTTGATTGTGTGAATAGAAAATGTTACCTGGTTTCTGTACAACAAATTCACTGTGTAGAGATGAGCTGCAAATATTACCTGACATTTTCAAAAAAAATACATTCTATAATTTTTGATAAATTAAATATCTACTGCAGAAAATCTATTGTATTTTTTTCATTCCTATTTTTAGGTTTTGATATAAAGAAAAACAGAAAATGTTTTCAAAAAAATTATTGCTGCAGTTATATGGGATGTTGATATTTGCACATAGTTTCTGGCCTCAGAACAAGAAAAATATATCTAAATAAAAACTGCTGGTACCTTTGGTACAGAAATTAAATGCAGTTCTATGGGGGGAAACGGGGAAAAAGCCTAAAACTCTCGGCAGCTCTGTAGGTGATGGCCTGAATAAAAGTTAGTAAAAGGAAAACCTTAGTAAACATTCAAAAACTCTGAAAAACTATTTAGCAAATTCTGAAAAAAAAACTAAATTTTTATGACCCCAGACTTGTGCGCAGTTTTCTATGAGTTTTATGACGTATATGGACCGTTTGGTTCTAATTTTTGGAAACATAGATTTCAGTCTGAATGCCTGTTTGGTTGCAGCCTCCACCCCCTGAGCTGGGCTACACCATCACAGCTAGAGATCTGGACGACGAGAAAAAGGCAGCCATCAGTAAGATCCAGAAAGTCCTGGAGACTCCTGGTGAGCAACTCTAAAGGAATTTGTTGGGGAATTTTTATCTCTTTTCTCTTTCATCTTATTGTTAAATGTTGACTTTTAGCCTCAGAACCAGAAAAGTCCATGCCTCCAGAAGCCTCCACCTCAACTCAACCTGCTGCACCCACAGCCACACTGAGCAGCCTCCTGGCAGCTCCTCTGCCCACATCCACCTCTGTCGTTCCAGTCATTAACCTGGACCCGATTCCTGGTGGCAGCAGCAGTGCAGCAGCCCCTGCAGGCCCCAGCACTCTGCTGGAGGCCCTCAAAGTGAAGATCAGTGACCCCACCAGCTCCATGTCTGTTGCCAACACCACCACAGGTATCGATTATGTTACTAATCCATTCGTCTATTGATTATTCTGACAATTAATCAATTAATCAGATAAAATAATTTGCACATTCAGAAAATTTTTCATTTAACCACTGAAGCCTTCTTATACAATATTAAAAATACAAGAACATATGCAAATAAACAAATAATTAAATTATTTTTTAAATAAAATATTTCATTGCCTAACATGCAATAAAAGCTTTCCTTTAAGGCGGTTTTCCACTAGACGCCTCTAACCAGGACGGTCTCAGTCCACCTCGGCCTGATTCGTTTTCCATTAGCCAGTCCGGCATGGCTCAGTCCTACTTCAGGGTTCGTACAAGCAGCACAGAAAAGATTTGATTGACAGCTGTGCACATTCATTGACTGTCTTGTGATTTACGTCCCTGAAAACTGCAAACAACATTTAGCGTTTCCCTGTGGATTGTGGTCACTCCGTCTGCTTTCAGAGAGCTGCTTAGTACAGAGGAGTTTATTATGAGATTAAGGAGCAGCGAGAGGAACACATGGTAATTTTTGCAGCAGATTGACTGTGACTTACCGGAAAAGGGTAGAGTGCCTTCTCCTGCTACCAGCTTGTCTCTCTGAAATACGGATAGTAATAAGAAGAGAGAAACGGTGCAGCTGTGGTCAACTTTCTGACGGAGTTGCGGTTTTGCGTTGATAGTGTGAAACAGGAACTACATTAACTTGTGTGAATTTTATTTTTCATACATCCTTCGATTTTCTTCCGCTTCATCCGGGGTCGGGTCGCAGGGGCAGCAGCTTCAGAAGGGAGGCCCAGACTTCCCTCTTCCCAGCCACTTCTTCCAGCTCCTCCAGGAACCCCAAGGCGTTCCCAGGCCAGCCGAGATACATCGTCCCTCCAGGGTGTCCTGGGTCTTCCCCGGGGCCTCCTCCCGGTGGGACATGCCCAGAACACCTCACCAGGGAGGCGTCCAGGAGGCATCCTGACCAGATGCCCGAGCCTCAACTGGCTCCTCTCGTCATGGAGGAGCAGCGGCTCTACTCTGAGTCTCTCCCGGATGACCGAGCTTCTCACTCTATCTCTAAGGGAGAGCCCAGACACCCTGCGGAGGAAATCCATTTCGGCCGCTTGTATCCGTGATCTCGTTATTTCGGTCATGACCCAAAGCTCATGACCATAGATGAGGGTGGGAATGTAGATCGACCGGTAAATCGAGAGCTTCGCTTCTTGACTCAGCTCTCTCTTCACCACGACGGATCGGTACAGTGCCCGCTTCACAGCAGACGCTGCACCAATCCGCCTGTCAATCTCTTGCTCCCTTCTTCCCTCATTCGTGAACAAGATTCCGAGATATTTAAACTCCTCCACTTGAGGCAGGACACCTCCACCCCCGACCCGGAGAAGGCCCTCTACCCTTTTCCGGCTCAAGACCATGGCCTCGGATTTGGAGGCACTGATCCTCATCCCGGCTGCGAACCGCTCCAATGAGAGCTGCAGATCACGGCTTGATGAAGCCAATTTTTCTTCCATAAATTGGATAAAAAAATAACACTCAACAATAACCAGGAAAGCAGTACAATGATAAGTGCATTGACTCAGTGTGTTTAATAAAAAATAAATAAATAAAAAAAAACTTTTCACCTGAGGAAATGTTTAACCTGTTGTTCACAGGTTGTCATTCACAATGACAGGGGTGTCAAACTCCAGTCCTCAAGGGCCGCTGTCCTGCAGTGTTTAGATGTGCCACAGGTAAAAAACAGTGGAATGAAATGGCTTAATTACCTCCTCCCTGTGTAGATCGGTTCTCCTGAGCCTTGCTAATGACCTAATTATTCTTTTCAGGTGTGGTGCAGCAGAGGCACATCTAAAAGTTGCAGGACAGAGGCCCTTGAGGACTGGAGTTTGACCCAAATTTGGGTCCTCTCGTGAATAACAGGTTAAAATTGTGTGACTTCAATAACATCTGCAAGACCTTGAGGAGAGGATTAAATGAAAACAACACAGGAATAATCTGAAAACCAACAAAATTAAGGAACTGGTTATAAACTCAGATTCATATAAGTTAGAGATTTAAAACAGAATCTCTACCATGTTGTTTTCTTGTTTCCACATTCATTTGAGAAGTGACCGGTCCCTCCTGAATTTCATGTAATTTTTTTTTTTGCAATCCAAAT